TGCAGGAAATCAATCACTATCCTATCCCTCCAAGATCTCAAAATACAAGCGAAAATACACCACTTCACTGATTCAAACCCCAGCATCTTCATTTCTGTTGCAGGCATTTACCTATTACAGTTACCTTTGCGAACTTATCTACTTTTTAAAAACAAAAATGCCTTTATAGTCACAGGCTGTCAGGGACAAGTAATTTGTGTCCTTGAGCACAGGGAAGCTTAGCAGGATTGCTCAAATTTCTAAAAGAATCACCAAAAGCAAGTGGCCGCTCTAGCTTTAAAAATTTATTTTCCAACATCTGTCACAAAATTCAGAGCAACATGGTAGAACGTAATACTTCAGCGTTTCTTTATATCTTCACCTATCATATGTGCTATAGAAAGGAGAGGAAAAAAAACAAACCCAAAAACAATCACTCACCAGATAATTCCCCCATAAAACAAGGAGAATATGAAATAAAATACAATGGATCCCCAAGTAACAAAATGGTTTATCCATGTCCAGAAGTGAGTTTCTAGTGCCATCTAAAACAAAGATAACATCAATGAACTTCCTTTTCCCTTCCACTTCACAGAGGATGATAAATACTCGTCTGAACGTACTTACAAACTTCCAGCTCAAATACTAAACATTGTTGTAACACGCAAAAACTACAAACAAACATTTTAACCACCATTGAAACCAAAGATAAAAATCACTTATCTGGAATCCTCAAGAATCAATTCTTTCTGATATCTTTGGAATAAATTTTAAATTTTAAGTTTTAAATTCTAAATTTATATTTCTGATATCTTTTGAATCACTTTTAAATTATTGCTCTATTACATATTTGCTTACATATCCAAACAGAGAGAGTAATTAGTATAATATCATACCTTCATCGTAACAGTTATAACCATAACGGTGAAGACCAAAGTACCAAATGTCCAGTTTCCAAACATCTAAGAAAACAGCAAGGCAAAAATCATGGAAGAAAACAACGACAACAAAAAAATCAGTTAAGAGCATTCACGGTAAGTTAGATTCTTCTCAAGTCAGCTACACTAATGAAAAAAGTCTGTGGACATAAGCTTGTGACAACTAAATATCATGAAAAAGCAAGAAGGATACAACACAAACTACTAGAAAAAACAGCTTATGATAAGAGCAAAAATTAACAACCCACAAGTAATCTTTCCTCTTGGCTCGAAACAATCACCACAAAGGCTACATGAAATATGAAGAAAGTTCAAAACAGTAATATGAAATGATAGGAAAACGAAGATACCAATTTGATCAATTAAGTATAAGCATCCAATAGAAAGCAAATACTGGGTGGAAAGTAGTCACCTCAACATAAGCACAAAACACTGAGTTCAAACATTTCCAGATCAATTTCAACATGCAGCATCACCTGAAAGTTCACTTTTTACCCCAAGCACAATTGTACAATTCAAAAATAATGGTGTCATTGTATTTTTCAAAGTAAATTCTAAGGAAAAGACACTTTGTTTCAAGGCTAATAAACACAAATTACTCTTCACTTCTAAAACACTGTATCTGTCACTTACATGTGCCTGTGTAAATTAAAGGATCAAAACTCTGAACAAGTTCTACAACAACAAAATCTCAGCTCTGACAACCAAGCAGGGATGCTGAGTTTGTCATCTATCTACACACATGCTACTTGGGCGCACGCTGCCATTCTACAACAGTTCCAACTGCTCTGCTCCTGGAAGCAGTCCGAGTGCTGAAACTGAGGACGCTGTTTTGCAGCTATTTTTGCCACTGACATCCTGAACAATGACCAAACCCTCAACTCGGTATTTACTGGTAGCAAACTAAGCAAGCAAGGAGAAAGGTACCACATGCAGACAAGGCAATCAAAGTCACCCTAGAGTTGATTTGTTAGTAGAGCACAGAGGCACGGAACTGGGATTCACACAGTTGTAGTCCTTGTTACAGAGCTCTGACAAAAAACATCCCAACTGCCTGATGACAGATCTCACAACTGCTTTTCTCATCTTTACACAAGGTACAAAACTGAGGCAGCCATGAGTCTGGATTTACTGACGATTTTCAAGATCTTTGATATAACACGTCTTCTGAAGGCTTCTTTTTACTTTTCACACTGATAGTGTTTAACAAGCAACGTGCTTGCTGTTAACTGCTGCAATAACAATCTTGAAGTAAAATTAGACTACTGCTTCTGAGTGACCTGTGAAAGAAAGTGTCTTTGCTAACACTGCTCTCAATGGTCACAGAGTTAGAATGCAAGAAGTGAACAGGTTCTTGCCACCATTTTATTTTTGAACACATTTACACTATGGATGCTGCATCCTTTAATCCTGTAACAGATACAATATTTTGTATCTCCTCCTCTTCTAAACTCTTACCATTTGCCTGTTAGGTTTCAATATCTGACGACATGCACAGCATGAAAAAGGGGGGAGAAAAAAGAACTAAAAGATCAAGTTGTTGTACAATGTGTTGAGGTAAGCCTAACAAACCACCAGCATTAACAAATTACTTACAATCTCTTCTGAGACTGTAAAACCCAATCTGAGTTTACAAGTTGAGAACTCACAATGAAAGAAATGAGGCCTTGCACTGACACTACCCTGTATGACACATTCACACAAGGTGAGGACTGTTACAAGAAAGCACTTTGGCAAGACACGAGCTTCTCTTGCCCTTAACTTTGGTTTTTTCAGGTACACATTAAATTTGTGACATACTTTATGCACTGCAGATATTTTACTGCTACACATAGGTCTAACAGTTCTAATAACCATTTTTCAGCAAACACAGAGAAGGTAGAGGGTAGCTCCAAATAAATGCTAAGACTTTTTCTCTTTCTTTTTTTTTTTAAGTCACATCACAGAAACATGAGAAGCCAAAGGGCACCTGAAAGCTTTATTTCCAGTATGCTTATTCGCTAAGTATATTTTTAAAAATCTTGAGGCTAATTTATATGAGAAACCATTAAAAGAACCTTCTCCATAAAGTTATATTAACACACTGATCCAGATTTATAGTGCATAATCCATTCCCCAAACTAAACATTTCCTACTAAATGTAATGAAAAAAGTCTGTTCCTGCCTGTGGACATTTACTACACAATTTTGAAGTGAGGTGCTTTGACAAGTGAGACAGATGCGCAGAAATACATCGATTCATAGTGTGAAACTACTTCATTAGAAGGTCTTTTACTAATTCACAAGAACTTCGAAGTCACACAGCTTGTATCAAACGACAACAGAGGACACAATCATACCTTAGTCGTAAGAGACGTTTTAGTTTGAAGACAACTATAATACATTCACTATCTTGAAAGATATGTTTTTTCATGGACATATGCTTTCTGACAACATGTCTTACAGTTTCCACACTAAGAAATGTTACTCTTGAGAGCACATACGAATATTGGCAAAGAATCTTTCGTAATTACGCAGTTCATAAAAATAAAAAAATCTTAGATTTTTCTGACACAAGCGGATTTGTTAAAAAAAAAAAAAACATTAAGATATATCACCAAAAATACAATGGTAGAAAATTCTCATGATATTGTACCTGGCCATTTCCCAGCAGAGAAGTGTCTTCTCCCATTAGAAGATATGAACCATAAAAGAAAACAAATGCATGAAAGAAGCCCAAGATGGTCCAGTAAAGAAATGGTTTAAACCCCAGATGGGCGTTTTTACTGATGTCTCTGCAGAAATAAAACAGATCTTGAATTTCAGATTGTCTTTATATAACCCATCAGCTCTTCACACATTGCATGACTGCTACTGCTTTGAATAAATGTAACTTTGAACAGCACCAAGATACATGTAACAAATGCTGACATACGAAAAAAGTACATAAATCATGGGCAGAAAAAGAACTCTGAGCTCTCATGATTTGTCTCTGCTTTATTCAGAGATCACCAATGGCAAGGGTCTCCAACGGGTCAAATTCAGAACAGCAAAAACTAGAATTCTTCTCCCTGAAGGCTGAATTGCAAGCGGAAGAAAAAGCCAGATCTCCTGATAACCTGCCTCTTGTTCTGCTTTAAAGACCTTTAGGAAAAGAGAAACATCTAAGAGACGTCTCTTTTTCACAAAAATATACACTTTTTTTCCTCAAAAAAGCAGTATGTAGTGCAACATGCAACCACTGGGAGGGCATCTAATTCTATAGGAAATCACTTCCCCTCTTAGTAAAACATTTTCATGGTGATTTCCCTAACCACAGTGTCCTCGTTTTTCAGCTACATGTCTGAGTGATTTTGACCACCTACACGTAACGAAGGAGAAGGGTTGCCAATCATGTAACCTGACCAAGTGCTCAGTCAGCATGACCGACATAAAAAGACACTTCTCTTAAAATACTCAGGTTAATTAACTTTTAGGATGTAAACTATGTAGCTGCAGTTCTTCCTCCCCCAAGATAGTTACTAAAAATTGCATAAATAACAGAAAAAATGCTGTAGGAATACATAACAGCAAGTTCAGATTTCTGCAGATGCCACTGTTGTTCTAAACTATGTGCTACTGTGACAACATACGAAAGAGATACGTACCGATAGAGCACAGGTTTACTCTGCAATACATGCGGATGCACATGCTGTTCAAAGAGACTGTATATGAGGACAGGCAAGGAAGTGAAACAAATATTGTACAAAGTCAGGTATACACTGTCATAGAGCGTCTGAAAACAGAAACAAAAGTTATCCTGGGTCTTGTAAAGAAAAAAGTTGTTTATATTTATTAAAATCTATTACCACACTAATAGCAGCAATAAATCATTCATTAAGTGAATTCACTAAATTTACTAGCTAGAAAAAAGCTACATTCACATGACCATCAGTAACATCAAGCTATCAAATACAGAAAATGAAGCTGGATTATTTAAGTGTAAAATTTCTGCTGCTCCTGTACAGTTCTTTCCCATTTTTCCAGTTATTTACCCTCAGTGTTTCATACACATTTACCAAGATGTAAGTCATCAGATACTTACTTGTTGTGAAAACAAACAGAAGAACTGATATAAAAATTGTGGTGTAATAAAGCACACATTCTGAAAAAAAAGAAAAAGTGAAGGAAATGGTTAATCCTCAGTATATACCTCACAACCCTTAAAGAAATTGCTAAGTCTTACAAGCTGGTAAAAACACACAGTGAGAGCATAAAGCATTTCAGCATTTTAGTTGGCAATGTGAAGCAATATACTCTGCTCGAGAGCCTATTTTGTTTGTCCTTTGGGACAACAAACCTGAAAAATATAAATTTAATCATATGTGCTTGATAAACACATCTCATTATAGGACTACAAGTAGTACTAAAAGGAGGAGAAATAAATCCATTTTCTCCTCAGTATCTCTTTAAGAATTTATTTGCAAAATAGTTTTGTCATTTTATTCAAGAAAATCTGTGCCCTTCTCCTATAAGCTTTCTGCATGGGAGGAGACAAAACAGAACCCAAAACCTAACACCAGGTTGTTATCTTTAAATTAAAGGAAACAATAGAATATAAGAAGTGGCTGGGTGGCCATCTCAGAAAAATTTCAATTAAGATAGTGAATTTCGACTTCTTATCAAAACTGATGATCAAGTAAAAACAAAAACAAACAAAAAGACAGAAGTTACTAGCCTTGAGTTTCAAGCACCTCAGCCCAGGATTGAGCACGCAGGCCAGTCCTCGACTCTCCTCTCTAGTATTTTGCTTACGCTTCGACAAGCTCACCCTGCTGCTCCATGCCCACAGCTCCCCAAGAGGCACCCAGAGATAACTCAGTCCCTGTGCTTACTTCCCTTGCAGTGTTTCACTCCAGGATTTCTGAAATCAAGGCTGGGACTGTTAAGTTTTCTTACTGTGAGCCTGCCAGCAAAGAGTATGATCTCTCCCACATGCTTTCTGCAGGCCTTTCCCTCCCTCAACTATCTCTTGTGGTCCCCTTTTTCCTTTTAAGAAAGATGAATGAATTTGGTTCATATTAAATCAACACACAAAAAAATTGCTAAAGAATGCATTAAATTCAAGCTAGTAATACTGCTTTCAGAGAGCAAACACATCTGCCTCTCAGCCTAGGCAAATTCATTGTGGTATTTAAAACCCATTTCTAGGTGGAAGTACAAAACAATTTCACAGTTAAACTACAGCATTTGGTCGTAAAATATTAAAAAAAAAAAGCCCAGAAAACATGTCTGAATAGAGATATTAAATCTGTTCCCAACAAAAGTCTTAGATTCAGAATAAATTTCTTGCTGGGAAAAAGTTACACATTTTTCCGTGAATTTCACTGGCATTCTTTGAAGACTTACCTTATAAAAAAAGTACTGTACAAGGGTTGCTATTCTAATATAGTAAAAGTGCCCATGAACAAAAAGCAACTTGGAGAGGAATTTAAACCGTGCTATTGCATAGTCACTGTTTCTTACAGCTTGTCTTCCTTCTTTGCCCATGATTCCTGTAATATTTGGGAAACAAAACAGAAAACAGCTTAAACATTACAAAAATTAAAGTTTAAAAAACCCAACAACATACATCTGAATGTACAGTCCTGTTTTCCTGCACTTCAACATTATAAAGATTTCAACAACTCTCAGTTCCAAAAGAAGGCATTATTCCTGACACTTAGAACTAAGGGAAACTGCCCATTTGACACTGACTCAACTGGGGGGGAAAAAAAAAAAAGACGACTATTTCCATAAGCTATGCTTAAGAAAAGATTTATGGGAAGACATAGAAATAATAAACTCATACAAAACCATAATTCCCAAACCAAGCAAACCAGTATCAATCCATCAATCTATTATCACTTTACTTAGTATGTTTTACTTCAGAGAGGTTTTTCTTACAGTACTTCCTGGGAATAAAATGACTTATACTCAACAGCAGAATGAAAGAAATGCTGTTCTTACAATAGCAGTTTACTTAATCTGATGGGCTGACAATGCTTGTCACTTGTCACAGCTGAGCACAAACTCATTTCTAAAAACTATTATTAAGATTAGGATAAGCATACACAGAGAACACAAAATGCTCTTTTGTAGACAAAAAGTGGACCAGGATTCCTGAAAACCAGATGCTTAAAAGTGCTGGTTGCTTTTGAAAAAAATAGTCTAAAGGTCTTGTCACCTTCCATGGAAGACTTGGCAGTTCTGTCCAACATACATGTAATGTCTAGTATGCTACAAACTACAAAAAAAACTTGGATAATTTTATTTTTAATAAGCTTCAGTTAGTTGACAAACTAGCTGTAGAATAAAGTAGCATTTGCTATTGGCCTGTAACCTTCTCAAGCAGGCTATACCCATGGTCTTAAAAATCATGGCCACATGATTTACATGATAAACATTACATACACCTTCTTAATCACAAAGAGGGACAGACTGACTACCTTGATGTACCAATACCTTATTTAAGAACCTTTAGCATTTACTGTCGTAACAAACATCATCCACAGTCAGTAAAGGAAATACCAAAACGCCATGTGATGGGTACAAATGCAGTTATATGTATGTTTTGTTTTGTACTCAGTTATATAACACAGCAGAAAAAGAAGTTTAAATAAGGTCCTGGCCAGATAACAGAAAACAATATAAACAGAGAAAACTACCAAGCTTAGCTGAGAATCAATAACAGTCTCTCAAGAGATATAACGAAAGCCTTCTCCTCAAAGACAAACTAGACACAAATGGCATTTCTACAGTGATACAGAAGTGGTGTAAACAGTGGCAGTTTAGCACAAAGAAAGGTCAAGTTTACAAAGAAACTGAGAACCTGACAGTGTCTGAAGTTACAGAAATCCACTTCCAATATCTGAAGCAGAGTACTTCTGAGATTCTAGTTACAGAGAACCTTTGCTGTTCTTAAGGCAGCATTAAGCAGGACCTCTGATTATTGGTAGACTACACGAGAAACGTAAGACTTCTGAAAGCATCAGCCTTCAATTTTAAATTGCACTAAAACTCTACTACAACAGATGACTCAGATTAACACTCTGTCATTCACAGGAGCAAAAAAGTTAGAAGTTTATCTGTTTATAAACACTATTCATGACCTAATCCTCTAATCTTATTTGCCTTTATCTTTTCTGACAAAAGGAAGTTACCTATGCCAACATGTGCTTCTTGTATCATGCTCACATCATTAGCACCATCACCGATTGCTAATGTTATAGGTTTCTCTGGAGATGTTTTTAACAGTCGCACTACCTGGAAAAAAAAAAGAAAACAAGGCAGAAATCAGAAATTTTTCAGATTAGACAAGACTATCTGCAAAAAAATGCCACTAATTTCCAGGTATCTTAGTTAGTTATCTACCTGTAAATATAATTATGTTTTATGAATGTGCATTCCTGAGTAAAAAACATCTTTGGCTTATCACATGCACAAATTCATTGCTCCTTTAGAAGAGCTGCTTGCTTTGGGGCACAAGCCTTATTTAAATATTATGCCTGCCTTGAGCTTATTTTGTTGTTCTTATTTAGATTTTCTTTTACAACTCTTAAGTTGGTGTTTTATCATACAAAATAGTCAAGTAAAAGTTGGTACTTGAAATTTACTTAGGGAGTAATCCAGATTTAATGCCCTTTACTAGATGTGCCTAGATTCTTCACATTATCAATTAATGGAACTAATCAGCGCAAAAGAGGAACCTGAAAAAACAATGTGTTAGCTCAAAGATCAATACATGCAGTTATTAAGGAAAACAGTTTCTTTTTAAAGCAACTTCATTATCACCAAATGGGTACTCTCAGTAGCAAGAGTCACAGAAGAAGATATGACAGAAAGAGGGGAAAAAAATGTTTACGTACAAGGCTCTAAAATCCTCTTCCAAAAAGGAAATAGATCTTTAATGTAAGTGCCAACCATATTCTAAATTTAGAGAGGAGTGAAACAGACATGGCTTTTGGTTAAGGAGAATTAGTAATTCACTAACTTCCCAGAGAGCCCTAACTAAAGGTAGAAGCTTCACTAATTCAGTCATAAACAGGCTGCAGAGGTAAAGGTGTGAATACAGATCCAGAAGGCTTTCTCAGAAGAAAAAATATTTATCTATGAAAAAACACTGCATTTTCCCCACAAAGTTCCAGAAAACCCGAAGCAGAAATATTAACAGAGCAACAATTGCATGAGGTAAGCAGACACAAAGAATTGTATTCAAACAACTGAGTTCTAGCTGGCGGTGTCAGTGCACTGATTCACAGGAGCAGTAACTCACTTCATAGGAGGAACACAACAGTGACTACATACAGTCCACAGCCCAGAGAAACCCACCTGATTGTGATAATACGTTCCCCAATTGCGAGTATTAATAGTCGAGTTTAAAGGTTCCCCATTCCTAGGGGGTAATTATTTCAAGTACATTTAGCATTAGATCTGAGTGAGCAGCCTTAAAGAGGTGGCAAAGCTGCAGTACGTCACCTAATCAGTCCTCACGAGATACTGAAGACTCTGGTAAAACAGACAAACACCTATGCCAACAGGTCACGACAAGACCTCTGGCAAATTTTACTAACAGCAATCAGCAGCAACTCTGAATGACTGACATGAAAGATGTTCAAAAAGGTTTCTGAGCCATAAAATGCACAAAAATAAGCAGTGAAGCCACTAGCCATATATTAACAAGCATTAAAATTAAAGGAAAAGACCAGGAAAATATTAAAATATTATTAATATTAATTAAATATTATTTAATTAATATTAATTAAAATATTAAGTTCCAGCTTAACCTTGAAATAAATCTCACAAGTGTGTCTACAGCAGAAAATCAAACACAAGGCTAAAATAAATTGCCATAGACTTCCTTCCTCATCCTTCCCTCCCATGTTATATGGCATTTGTCTGTGATTTATATACTTCAGCAGTTAAAATTAAGAAGTCATTGTCATCAAAATTGGGTTTTACTGTACCTCATTACAAAACACAGGACACAGGGGAGATTATCTGCTGGACAGGATAAGAATTCAGGAAAGCATTATTGGCTGGGATCAAAACTTGGCAGTACAAAACACATCATAGATCAAGTTAAACGACAAAATAAGGACAAGGGCACAACACAGGCAAATGACTACACCTTAAAGAGAGAGGATGGCAAAAATTTCATCTAAAAGAGCGTACATAAAGTCGACACATCTAACAAATTGCTTTTCTCATAGTAGTCACAAACAATTTCCTTTTAGCGTTTTATTGACACTAGTATTGTACCAAGTTTGTACACAGCTGAACGGTTTTATAACGAAGCGATTCTAAAGACTGCACTAAAAGTCTGGCTAAATGTTGGAAGCAGGAATAGCGACCTCAGAACAGGTCACTCATGCTACAGAAAAACAGCCTGCTCTCCCTTGCACATCTAGTACCTCATATAAGAGGTTTCTAGTGCTTTAAGGTAAAAAGATGTCTTTTTTCCTCTTCTTTTTGACAACGTGTAAAAACGGAGCAGCCAACAGTGTCCTTTCCGAGGTTTAATATTACTGGAAATTCATGCAAAAAGCTGTTAAAGCATACCAATAAGCTAAAAGTATAATAAATTCAAACATGGATCCAATAAAAGTCTACAACTAAATATTAGTCCAAAAAAAGGAAGAGAAGCATAAAATGAATGAAAAAGAAAATTTTAAAAGCAAAGAATAAATATTATAGCTCTTCAGAGCTTAGCTTTCTCGAGTTAAAAAAAAACACACACACACAAACCCACATAAAATCTGAATTTGATTTTATCTGATCTATATTTGAGTAAAATTAAGTACATGTGAAGGAAACACAGTCCTAGAAAAGAGCATTGAGGCAAACCTCCCCTGGAGACTAGGCCTCAGCTTCCCTTCCCTTCTACTTCCCTCCTGAAATGTGGGTATCTTTGGACAAGCACAATTTTTCCCTACATCTTCATGAATTTCCCATTTAGCTTTTTTGGTTTGGAGAGTGATGGAACCGGCATGCAGGTGATCAGGATAGCTACTCCCTTACAGAACACTCAAGAGAGTGATTGAAGATTAAGCCTTTTTCTTCCACGGTGGTCATATTTCGACTCCCTCCTCCATCCACTTGCAAATTTTCACAAACGCATGTAGAAACTTGCGAGCAAACTACTCCAGATCAACCCAATTTAACAAGGACTCGAAAGTCACATGAAATGTCAGGCAAGCAAACAAAGCAGTTCCAGAAAACCTTGCCTCCTCAAAGCATGATAAAAATATCTACAAGACAAACCTGATTATATTCTCACTTACCTTTGCTTTCTGAAGGGGTGCCATGCGGCAGCACAACACTGCAGAACAGTTTTTGCAAACTTCCATGAACAGTTTTTCATGTTCCCTGAGTGCAAGAGAGAGGCTGGTCCCATCCACAACCAGTCCATGCTGGATAACATGGTCTTCCTTTATTCTAATCAGGGACAAAAATGTTAGCTTTGTATTGGTGTGACGGAAAAATTAAATTTTGTTATCAACTATGTGGTTGCCCATACAATAAACAAAGAAGCGAGCCTGTTACACAGACTGCTTCTTCAAGTCTGTTATTATATAAATAAATAAGTTTTTTAAAAGGCACCTTCACGTGTTTGGCACATACATCAAAGAGATTGTCGTAAAATTTAAAAATGAAAGAAAACCAAGCTAAGATCATCACTGAGATAAGGACATCTCAGGTATTTTACCTCTTGGCTAGCTGCCTCAGTTGCTCTGCGCATGTACTGTCTGACTTGTGCTGCACGAGCTCCAGGATGTTCATGGTTCTGTGGAAGTGTCCACATGATAAACTGACACTAACAGCCGTTTCGTGCTTATCTCCAGTGAGTACCCACACTTTGATACCAGCCAACCTGAGTGCTTCTATAGTTTCTTGGACTTTCTCCTGCAGCCTAGAAACAAGAGAAATCTTAAATAACCAATCGAATGCTTTAGAAACAAAAGCTCACACTGTAATTCCACGTTACTCCTGTAACCCCACTATCACGACGATTTAGGACTGCATTTCAAATGTTAACATACCTTTCCAGAGAAGCATAGTATGACAGACAACATTCTGTTACCAGCCTTGATGAAACAAAAACTGAACTTCAATCCTGCTAAGTGATCCATATTTGTTGTAAGTATATCTTAACACAAATTAGACACCATTGCTGCATTTGAGAAGCTTTAAAAAAACCCACAATTACTATCTGCTGTGGTGCATGAAAAGCTTCTAAGTGCTCCATCTGTACACTCCAGCGTACAATACACCATCTGACTTACAGAATACACACTACGCAAGCAGAATACTTTGTAAAGTAGCTATGTGTAGAAGTTTTCCCAAGGAATTAGCCATTACCCTAAATATTTACTGCAATTACTCTGTTTCACATGCATTAAATCTCTCCTGATGAAGCACACTGCATGTCATCGTTTTTAAGCCAAAATCAGTTGGTACAACACGTGTTCTGAATGCTCCTCAATCCAAAGAGTGATAAACATACTGAACAAGGATAGCACAGAACTTTTGGGGGTGACAGGAGAGTTTTTCACGGCACACATCATATTTCAGTTTTAAATCCTAAACTCGCTATGTTTTTGAGTGTAGTTAACAGAAACTCCATTACATACTTGTCTTCTACTCCTGTAGCCCCAAGTAATTCCAGATCCCTTTCTATGAAGTTGAATACATCTGCTAATCTTTCTTCCCGTTGCTGTAAGGCAGTCCTGGCCTCATGAAGGCGTTTGCCAATTTCTTGATACTCCTCAGCTGTGAATCTTCTGTAGGCTACGCACAAAGTTCTCAGTCCTTTCTGTAAGAAAATAAAAGACTACATTCAGAGTAGACAAGATTCTCATCTAACAAGAAGGTGTCACCTGCAATTTGTTCATTTCAAGTCACAGAATTTGTACGAGAAGAATTTTCTTCTCATCAGCTGGGCAAACATATACACTTACCAAAGCAAATTCATCCACATGTATCCTTGTTTTGTCTATTTCTCCACTCTTACTACGAGGAAGAATGGAAGATTCTGCTCCCTTTGTGAATAAAAGCTTTTCCCCTAAAAAGTAAAATAGAACAGAAATTAAAAATATATACTATTTATGAAGTTCTCAACTGGAGCTTGTGCAACTTCTGATCGCTTACCTGAGGGACTCTCAACAATGACACTCATTCGTCTGCGATTTGGATCAAACTCCAAAACATGAAGCAATTTATACCTGTATTTTATGTTTTAAGAGAAGGAGGAAGGAGAAGAAAACATTTTTAGAAATAAATTTCCAAAGACAATTACTTATAAATATACACTTACCCCACAGAGCTTTCCCCAAAGTGTCATTTTTATACAGGAACTCTGAAAGTAATGCTACCATTGTTGAGCAACAATCACTGTTATCAGGGTTTGTACAATTGATTACTTTTCATCACTTTATATACATTTAATTCCATTCTGTAGCAATAAAAGATTCTTCTACCAATAGGAATAGCTTCCTGAACACTAGCTTTATATCTGGAGATTACAGTCATCTATTACAATCATCATCTATCCCATCTATTCCTTCATCCTTCTATCATCACTTCAAGTGTAACTTTGAAAACTGCATTTTATTTCTAACACTTGTAAACAATCTACACATTCAAAAAAGAGTGTATGTTCCCTGATAAATGGATTATCCTTTGTTATGTTACCATTAGTTTAGAAAATTAATTTTAGACATTTAAGTTTAAAGTACTGCCAACTAACTGACACAGATCAAATGGATAAAAGGTGTTATGAGATATCACAGATACATAATTATCAATATTTCTATTCATTTAGGGAAAGTTTAAAACATGTAATTAGATTAAGCATACATGAGACAGATTCTGGACTTCTAGAGCTGAAAGCAGAAATTTTAAGACTTGAATAAACAATACAGTTTTCCGACTCTACTACAGTCTCAAACTTTGAGGAATGGTCAAAGACACAAAGTGTTATAATACACACCTACACAGAGTAACTCACACGAAACTCTTGCACCTCGGTTTCAATTTGTAAGGACTAAGATGCAAACTGTCTTGAAGACATCAAGGGAAAAGCATTAAAAAGTGCATGTTGTGAAAAGGCGAGGTTTTCTTAAGAACAGAGAGGATTAAGAGGAGAATGTTATATTAATCTTCACTACCGTTCTGTCATTCAAAAAAACAAAGAATATAAATGAATACCTCTCTGGTATTCCAAGACTTTTTACTTCCATAATGTCCCCACTAGTTCCAGTAAATACTACTCCAACTCTAAAATGAAAAGAAAATATACATTTAATCATCACTTGAGACATAATGCCTACTGATTACTGGGGTCGGGAGAAATAAAAGAAAAGAAAAGAGAGATTCTTACACGCCATTACTGTTCTCTATTTCTAGAGAAAACGAAGAATACTTGCTTTCTACAATATTTTAATAGCAATATATTCTATCCATTATAATTTCTCAAGGATTTCCATATATATTTTTAAATATTTAAATATCACTTCATAATATCCCTAGGTTTTTGTGTATTTTTGCATGTTTTCACAGTAAACTGACAGTGCCAGGCCCTGGGCTTTACAATGCCTTGAGTAATTTTTAATGTTGCTTTTACCACGAACTACCTGCCCTAGTAGGCAATTTCTACGTTAGATAGTTTTGGCAGCACAACTCACCGGCTTGCTGCTTCAACTAAAGCTTTCTCATCTGGTGAGGAAGCATAATATTCCAATGGGGATGCTATTCCATTGGCTTGCCAGGGACCATCAGCACCATCTGTTTGGTCTGCATTGATCTGCACTGTATGACAAAGACAAACTGCTTTCAAGAAGAGTTCTTCCTCTTTCATCTGTAAGAAAGAAAAAACTTTATTTGTAACATTCAGATATCAATGCAGTATTGAACATACTTAACATGTTTTTAACTAAAAATCTGCCAAGTATTCCATTGTTAAATAACTATATCTCACCATGTTTAATAAATATTATTTGTTCAGTAACACTTAACAGCTTCAAACTACTCAGAAATTCTGATTTTTTTTTAAAAAATGCTAATCCTAGAATAATATTTCTGTGGAATAAACCACTTTCTATCTAGGATGCTTAATGAGGGTAGAAGTCTTACCAAACTATGCCTGTTCCCATCTGGAGAATCTTCAGAAAATCCCTCTGGAGTTAGTTTACCATTGACCTCTTGGTACTTTATGCCATTAATGGAGCACTCCCGAAATTGCATCTCATTTTCAGTTAATGTACCAGTTTTGTCTGTAAACACATACTCTACCTTTTGCAAAATAAAACAAAAAACAGACTTGGAGTTTCATGTATTTGTTAGAAGAAAAAAAAAAAAAGAAAAATCTCAACTCACACTCTCCACTATACACCTTTTTTTCATCATGTAAAATTTTTAATTTCCATCACCAGATAGAAATATCTTATTTTCAAATTAATCAGAAATCAAAGCACAATGAATAAAAAGTCTGCAGTAATGAATTTTAATATTCAAAAAGAAGTACAAAGTGGAAGATAAAAATATAATAAAAAGAAGAGACGATGTATTTTTTACCTGTCCCAATTCCTCATTGAGGTCTGAAGTATTTACTTGTGCTCTCTGGTTTGTTTCTTCATGATAGAGGTCAAGATCCCAGCCAATAAAAAAAGATCCAAGAAATTTCTGCATCTCAACAGTCACATAAAGTGAAATAGGTATGATAAAATTGTAAAGTACAAGAAAAGCTAGAAAATCTGAAATAAATCTCAGAATCTACAAGAGAAAAAAGGAAAACGTAAAGATTACTGCAGTGATCAGGTCAAACATCGTCAATTTATGTTTCAGTATGTATGAAAAATGACAAATTGACAGAGACAGAGGAGACCAAGTTCCACGTACATATGAGAGAGAAAACACACACAGTGACAGTGCAGATGTTTCCAGGTTGCCCCAGTGATGCATTTTCAGACTGATGCAAAAAGACTGCCTTAAGCTATGACTGGATGTTTCAATTCTCGAGTTATTAATTTTTGTTCTTTCTACTGAATCTGTCAGGAGGGCTGCCAATTAATATTAAGTCTTGTGGTGTTTCTGTTATCAAACAGGTCTCTTGAAAGACCCAGGTCTGAAAAGACTAATGCATTCCCCGTTCCATCAAACGGCACCGCTCACAGGCTTTTCTAAGGAAGTATAAATGGTGAAGGCAAACAACTGATCTGTCATTCTGTGTTGTCAGAGGAATCTGCAAATATTCTGTATTGGTTTAAGACAGCAGAGTGACAAGAGGGTCCCTGTCTATTGGCATTCCCCAGTGACATGAGTGCTCCAGACTACATGACAAGAAGGAAATCGCGTCTATTTCAACACCACAGACTTCTTCCATGCCTCTTCAAACACTTGTGTTTGACACATACATTTCGGGTAAACAGCTATGTAATAGGATAGAAATTTCTCTTTGTTAGGTATGACAATTTTAACACACTCTGAAATGCAACATTACAGACTCTTTGGGGTCTTTTTCATTTGCACAACAAACTCAGTGTCTAAATTGCACTTTGGGAAGGCTCTTACCAACACATGAATATTGAGCAAGGGAGATTAGAGATAAGAAACACTGGGACATCACTTTCAGCTCTACCAGATATCGGTGTAGGAGAATATTTTGAAGAACGGGAATGTAAAAGTAGTGAACAGTTTTTGCAAAGCTAAATAATGTCTGTTCTTCCTAATTAGGGAGTGTTGCTATAATTACTTAGTAAATCAGTACCACCGATTAAGGTGTCTTACAAACTCTGGAAGTTCTGTGCCTTAAGATATCTTCCAAATTAAATCGAAAAAGATAGATAAAGACTGAGAGCAGTAATTCATGTAAGAGAGCACATACTGAGAAGAAGTGACAATTACTGAGGTTAGCAAGTTTCCTCAAGCACTGTCTATTAAAAAACAACCTGCACAACACAGGACAGATGAACAGAAAAAGCACTCAAAGTGAGTGAGTCAGCATATTGAGAAATGCAAAGCAGATTGTGGAAATAAACAAGGGAGACAGAAAAACAAAGACATGACAGAAGGAGAGTGACACTGCAGAAACACAGATGGCTCTGTATGCTCCTGAAGGCAAAGGTAAAGGAATGGAAAGATTGAGTAAATACTTCTCCCAATTCTATTCCGAACTGAAAAGGCTCCACAGGTTAGTCTAACTTACACAGCAACTACTTCAAATCAAGAGAAGCCAAGAATTTACTTGACTGACCACTTCAAACAGCAGAAAGTGTGTTAAGTTGGTGCAGGTACCAAAAATAAAAAGTCATTAACAACTTGAAAACTTCTAATTTTGGAAACTTTTAAATTCATTTAGTAGTTTTCAAAGTGATACTTTTAGATTGCTTTAGAATACACTGAAAAGCTTTTGTTAACTGTAGTGATAACTTGAATTAACAGTTTTAAATAAAACACAGCACTGAGATAAAGATATTTTTCCAGTTAAAGCACAAAAACACTTTGGACAACAAGCTTCTGACAAAGCTGCATGTTCTACTGGAATCACAGTAAACTCTGAACTCTCATTGAATCAAAGACATTCTCAAACTACTTCTTTTTCCTTCCTGAACCACTATGTACTAACCATGAATTTCGCTCTATTTGTGAAGCAGAACAGAACTCCCCTGACTTGGGATTTAGGCCTTTTTGCACACATGGCACCTAGCGAGCACATCCAATTCTCAAGCATCTGGGAGATGGGGAGGGTAGGGGTGAGTGTGTGGGTGTTAAACATCTGACAAGATATCACACATGAAAACTATATTTCCAATTTTTCTATGCTTTGAAAATCCCATCTACTTCTTATAATCAGGTCCAGCCAGCTCCTGAACTGCTTTGGAAGATGGCAGACTCATACAGAAATCAAAAATTAAACAGAACACAGAAAAACGTAGAATGATTAAAAAAAGATGCTTCTCAGAACTGTAGACCTAAGGCACACTTCAAAGTATCCCTCCAATCTCTACAGAAAAGTGAAAAGGCAAGCAGGAGCTTGAGGAAAATTACAGCCTTATAAAATTGTTTGAACAATCTCAGTATCACAGAATGTCCAAAATGCCTGAGCTGTGAAATCACTGCAATGGAAGGTACACAAAACCAGCTATCTTCCTCCTCTTTTCACTTAAGGAATGACAAGAGACACCCAAAAGAACAGTAACTACAGAAAGAACACAGAACATCATAAATATGTCCTAACAAACCCCAAAACTTTCAGAAACTTCAGTCTTTTCATAAAAGAAGAAAAAGTCCAACCAATAACAGAGGTAAGATATTTCCATACAAGGAATATGAGGCTACACAGGATTAACTCTCTCAAAAATACTGAGACAACAGCACAGACTTGCAAGCAGATCATGTGGTAGTTACACTTACATCCAAGAACAGAGAGAAAATAAGTATCACATTCAGTATCTAGTGCTTGAGGGCTCCTCAGATATGCTACTCAGTAGAACTACATTACCTTACTGCTGTTTCTTTCATGCTCTGTTTTTCCATTATACCAAGGCTCATCCCATTTTTCTTCAGCCTGCCATGCATACTTTAAAATAGTACTCAGAATGGCTTCGAAGAGAAGGATTATTAGATAAATAATCAGAAAGGAATTCATGGACCTACAAAGAGGCAAAAAAAAAAAGGCAACTTCAGCTTATTTTCCTTATCTGTTGACACAGTGTGGTTACATGACTTGATCAAAAACTTGTTGGACAATTTTTTTTTTAAACGTATCCTGTGTTTGATATAGATAAAAAGTTCTTATGTGACAAGCAAGGAACAAAAGTGAAAAGAAACACTACATCTAAGATATCAATATGAAAACTAGATTAAGGTGTAAAAATACTCCAACAGCTGATACGTGTCACACCTGTTGTCCAAGATTTTGGGGGCTGACTTATCCTTCCCTTCTTCCTTGAGTATCTAGCAAGGCTGTGAAGGCAGTACAAACCACCACGGTGGAAATCCAAGGCTGTACCTTTTTCTGAAGAGCACTACCGTGTGCATCTGATTATTTAACTCAGGCCATGATATACCAAACTTGCCTCTATATTCTGTAACGCTAGCCAGATCATCTTTCCACTCTTTGTTTTGAGGACTGAAGTTTTCTTGTGCACTCCACACTTTTGTTTGTACCTGGCTACAGCAGAATAATCAACCCCAAGTTTGCAAAAGAATGCCAGGAGGCTCTCTCAGATTTTTAGTAACTGGAAAAAGGCAACTCATCAGAATTCCTTTCCTTTCTAAAATAATTCACAAAGTTCAACACATAAATCTCTATTACAGTAACACCTATCCTGCAGCTATGAGCTAAATTTTTAAAACTGAGCCTGTGGCTTGTGCTAGAAGCAAGATTCATTGCAAAACGTATCTGGATAGGCTATATTCTTCAGACTACGTGAAACAAAGCTATTTTCCATTATATGAAATACTGTGACCCACAACAAAGATTTGTAAGCAATTAAGACTTCATTTCAACCCATCCTCTTTAAAGACATGATGCAGTTTTACAGTAAAGGATGCACAGAACAGCAGAGGCTGGGTCTGGTGTGAAAACTATCCCCGAGCATCTGGTTCAAGCAGCATTTCACCTATCATTATGTGATCTCCACACCTCAGAAAAACAAACCTGCCAAACAAATTTTTTCTGCTTTAGTCCTTTTTAACCTTGGGTATTTCAGCTTTGTACACTACCAAAAGAACCAGTAAAGGACAAAATATCAAGAAATTGATTTTATCTCTATAGTTTCCTACTGAAGGCACAGCAATTACACTCTCTTCCATTGCCTAAAACTCAATGACGAAATCATCGGGGTTTTAAAGTTACTAAGCAAAAACTACGATAAAACTCTACAAATAAGAAAGATATTAGAAAATAAACATACTTTTCTACTGCTGACCGTTTCTGAGATTTACTCTTGTAATTTAATGCCATCTTTGTCTCCATACCTGTATACACTGCAACACCTGGGAAGGAAGCGGGGAGGAAAGTTATATTTTATTTTCTGCATATATACAATTTGCAGAATTTTTCATTTTAAGAGACACAGGATAAAATCAACAGGTGACATTACTGTTGTGCTTACTTCAGTACAATGTTGAGACAGTATTTTGTAAGTATTTGCAATATTCTGCTATAATAAAACAGTACTTCTGAAGTAATTTAACACCTACCAAAACTCTGTTTGTTATTATGTCTGTACTGCTCTTCAATATGTATTTTATGGAAATCAGAACAGTAAATCTCAGGAGAAAGACCTGAACAACGGGTAACAGTAACAATAGTCATTTATCTATTGAAGTTGTTATTCCTTTATCAAACCACTTCAAATATTTTCATGAAGTGGAGTTGGCACTTTATATCCTTAGAGATTCTTCAGCGTAATATCATTACCTTCATCTATAATCACATCCCCCCAGTTAACAGTCAGCAAGATTATTACAATTTCTTCAGTGCAAGTAGAATTAAATCACAGTTCATCAACATGTTTTAAAAAGAGAATACTATTTAAATATTTAGAAGTCTACAAACCAAATATTTCTTTAGTGTTTTTTAATCTTGCCCCACGAAGTAAGAGACTTTCAGGCCCAAGAGGTCTAAAAAGAAACAGACATACAGCATTTAAAAATTAGTTGCTCTGTATTCTGTAGGACTCGCAAAATCCAGTTTCCTACGCAAATTTGTTCTACATCCCCTATGAACTCCCAGCACGACTACTACAACCCCACCATCATTTAGGTCCATCATCAATTCTCTTATCCCTTCTACCACGCTTCACTCACAAGTCTCCACAGAGCTCTCAGTCTCCTTTGGTCACTGCCATACTCTCCCATCACTTTTCAATATCCCATAATTAGTGATTGAGCTAAATATACCAAATGGCTCGTTCAAAGAGACTTGCAAGTTACTTGAGAAGCCAGCAAGCAAAAAACCTGTCGAGCTCACAGGGCAACAGGAGCACTATTTTAGGTTTGGCTATTTAACCTGTCTTACTTCTACCCTCTGTCAAACTGAAATGACCTAGCAAGTTCAAAATCTCTTCATACCAGAGAAACAAAGACAAACAACTAAACAGACACACCACCACCACCACAACAGTGCAAGTTCTGCTTCCTAACACAAGACTAAAGTTTCATAAATGTTTCTTCCTCATATCTATCACACAATAATACATTCATTTCATTGGCTAAGTTAACTGCAAACAGTGCTGTGAAAATAAAGGTCCAGTTAGAATCAAGGTTCATTTAAGGTTAGAGCCGTATGTTCTACTCCAACAGCTGTATCATCTTTAGAAATCACCAGCACAGTTGGTTTGAATTTTTTTTTTTAAAAAAGACATATTCACTATTTTTGCCACTGTTTCAAATGAAAGCAGAAATTGAGCAACTGCAGTGGCCAGGCTGACATACAGGGCATAAGTAAAAGAATTAAAGATCATATACTAAGTGCTATGGCATACAAGCCCTTGGGTTTGTCTTTCTTTTCCATTAGCTGTACCACTAGCAGTCCATGATCACTATTCTATAAACCAAGCTCTTGTACTTGAAGTTCCTTTGAAAGCATAACCCGGCGTTACTAAAAAAACCCCTCCAAACCCACACAACCCCACCTCCCACAGCTGAACATTTAATTTAAATGTTACTGCAAATGTGACTGTTAGCATCACAAATACCGTGTGCACCAATTACAGATGCGGATTATGACAGGTTATTTAAATTACACATACATAAATTAGTATTTTAGGCTAGACTCAAACTTTAACTGAAAAATTGAACAAAAAAGGGACTAAATGCTCACACATTTAACCTTTTCTTTAACCTGAACCAGTGCCATACAGACTAGACAAATTTATCTCTAACAGTCAGAACATACAGCTCCACCAGTAGTCAGAACTTGCAATTACTTTTCACACTCCCTTTAAAATGGCTGTTATATGTTGTCAACTAAATTATTTTGATAGATTATCTCAAAGGTGAGCCTGTCAAGCTTGGCAGTAATGAGTTCTGAAAAGCTCTAAGTGAAGTAGCACACAAAGCGACCTTAGAAAACAGCTGAGTGGAGTTGGAGGGGGTGGGAGGTGGCCAAGTCATTGGACTTGGGGCCAAGTGATCTGCCTTCTACATTCCCATATATCTTGCAAAACCACTGACAAATCACTGATTCACTCTGAACTCCGTGTTACTCTCATCTAAAATAGATGTTTGTGAGCCTCATAGGAGGCTCTCAGATTGACAGACTTTCAGTTCTTCAGACCAAAGGCACATATTACACGGAAAATAATACTGCTTTAATATTTGATTCAGGTAGAAATTTCACTAAAAAAAAAATGTGTAAAGGATAACATTTTGGACATTAGAAGAGTGAAAGAACCATAACAGATTTTTACCTGTTTGTGATACATTTATACATCATAACACAGCACTTCATGATTTGAGAAAAGGTGATCAAGTTTTTTGAAAGCTTTATTACCAACAACTCACAAGAGAAAATATTTAAATAACTTGCAAGCTAAATATTCCTGAAAATCTGGCCATTTCTTGCAAGTGGATTCCCTGTCTTTATCTCAAACCATGATCTTTCTCACTCTTGTTCTTCCTATTTCTCTCCTGTCCTGTTGTAGTGGGGAGGAGTGAATGTGTAGCTGTGTGGATGCCTGGCTGCCAGCTAGGGCCAACCCATGGAAATCAGCAATCTTCTGAGGAAGTCCACATGTAGGTCTGTAAGTGACTTCACATCTTTATTTTTATACTTTCACATGTGTCTAGGTGTATGTTACCTGCTATGAGTGCACAGGAAAAGGCTGTGAGCACATGATTATGTGCACGTAGCTTCATATGCACACAATTACGTGTTGACTGTTCCAGATGTAAGCACTTATCTTTACAGTCCAGGTAGTACAGCAGTTTGAAATATATACTAAAAGCTACAAATATGTAGCAGAGGCTTTGTTAAAAAAGAGAAATAATTTCTAGGAATTTCAACTGCAAAAACACCTGCTCAGTGTCTCTGATGACGGGGATCTGTTGTAGTGTACATAATATATCCTGGAAAAAGTTTAAGATCAATAAATGTTTTAAATAACAAAGAGCAATAAAATTACCAGCTGACTACTAGTGCCTAAAAATTATCCCTTCAGAACAGCCAAGCTCTCCAGAACTGTCGTATTAAATCTGAAAAATTGGGTAGTAACGCACTTACTTTCACTAATTTTTTCTCATCTCCATCTGAAGTATGCAGCTACAATTGATACTTTCAGTAAAAGTATCCTTCCCTTTCATATATTCAACAGTAATTCTTTTTTGTGATGGTCATGATTTTAACCACCCCATTCCGTCAGCTCTAAATATGAATCTTATAAAACTTTACTTACCGTACGATTTCTTCAGTTTGTTGACTTACAGTTATTCGTCCAACAAATCTATGAAAGATGACCATGTGTTAGAAATATCTACATAAAATCTCAAATACGTAAAAAATTCCTCTGAATTTACAAAAAAGTCATTAATGGTTCACAAGTACAAAATAATCAGCTTTTATTAACAATCAGACTAAACCAATATGGCAACACTGGCAATAATTTTACAAGAGATATTTAACAACAGAAACATTTATCCTTCAAAAGAATAGTCATTTGAGAAAGCCTATTAGGTTTTATTAACAAAAATGACAAAGATTGTATTTCTTACTCAGTTAAAACAGATCGTGACTTCTTGATATTTCAGTGAGAAATAATTCCTCAACAAATACAGGTTAGCACATTATTCATCAGAAATAGTAATTTTTCATTTAATAAAGCCAATCTACTCTGCTTTTAAAATCTGACATCTGCATATTTAGCATGACTCCAGCTACAAATAGGGATATAAACTTCTATAGTAATTGTATCTTAATTTGATGTTCTCTACAAACTGAACTAAAGAGCAAATATTTGAACAGCAGTTGAAACTAAGTATCTTTGTTTTTAAGACTGTAATACTTCTCAAAGATCCCAAAGCTTACTTACAAATAGCTGCTGTGATATACTTGCATTTTGAAAACTACTACTTGATAGTTACCATTTTCCATTATACGATTCAGAGGAAACTTGGATGGGAACATAACTTCTGTTACCTATGATACTGTTTTACATAAGAGTCTAGGGCACTGCTCGCTGATGTTAAAAGCTGAAGTGTAGCACACTCAGATGCAACTGTTTTTAATACAAACTTTTGCTGCTGAAGAATGGAGTTCAAATCTTCCCTTGAGCTTAAGCAAAATAAATGTGACCAATTAGAATAAACATAAGCTTACAATAATTTGCTATGGTTTGAGTTAATCCAATTAAAAAAAAATGCTATGCAGTACTGAAATCTACCAGCAGAATCTTACACAGCTCTTTCTTCAACCTGCCCAGACTTATAGATCATCTAATTTTTTTTTAAATCTGGAAAAAATATTACTGGTTAGAAGAGAAATGTGCGTGTCATGATTAAAATACAAAAACTAAATATTATCCTATAATTTCTGATTTACTACTGAAATACTCAAATTTAACTTGTCACTTGCAACTTTCAGTAAGTACGTATGTATAAATACTTATGCTAAACCTACAAATACTTATTAAAAACCTAAAATTTAAGCAGGTGTCTGAGCTATTTTAATCCCAGCAAGACCCATAACATTCCTAATATTAAACACTTCATGCCTATTTAATTTCAAAACATTTACTAATAAAGTGATACCTGTATAGATCTGCTTCTGGCTGCTGACATTCTATCACAGCTACAAGTTTGTCCAGGTTCGCAACGGACTGTAACACTGCTGTTTCTGGGACTGCAACATGCGTCTGTAAAACAGCGTCCATGAGGTTAATGACACAGGACTACCAGGCAGCGAGGGGATTCCAACAGGCTGAAATAACAATGGCACCGTAAATTAACTACATTCTATTGCACAGCAATGACACAGACCTTAAGATTTGTCTCTCCGTCCAAACTTGCGGTAGTAACATGGCATGAACCGTCGACTCGATCAGATGACAGAAGCACCAGATCAACAGGAAAAGTCTCATCTTTGGCTACTCTGACAATGTCCCCCACCTAACGAAGTGATAACAAACGAGAAGTATACAAGTAGAGTTTTAAAATAAAAGAATTTGTTTCAGTATTGTTACAAATTCATGATGAAATAGGCCACAATGATTAGTAATCAAACGAGAGCTTTAGTTATGCAACAGAAACACAACTTTCAATTTGTCCTTAGGCACATACTCGAATGTTTTTAGATCTGGTTTTTACAAGGCCACCGCTTCGAACAACATAAACAGGAGCACCGTTTACTTCATTGTCTGCTTTATGTCGTAGCCAGTCTTCATAACCCTGTGGAAAACACACACAAATTTACTTTTTAAGCAAGAAACCTATAAAGTGTAACAAATTTCTTAGCAAATGTGCTTCAAATTACTTGCTGCATAGCCTGAATACAGTTTCAAACTTCCCTTGAGTTTCTACTACAGCTATTACTCAAGATCATGGGACATCTCTTCAGTTTCTTCACCACTTTTGCCACTTTATTTGCCTTTACTTATTTGTGTAAAGTGAGTAAAAATTAACAGTCCCATGCTCTGTTAAAACAAACAGGCAGTGACATTTTCTACAGACAAGAAGAATAAGCACTCATTCAATCTTTTATCTATATGGATTAATATACCACAAAACTGGGCACAGTCACTCCCAGCCTCCCTTATAGATTTTTTTTTTTTTTAATTTTAAGAGAAGTAATAAACTGAAATTACTTCCTTATGTCATACCATATAGCACTGCTTATAGTTCCTGCCATAGCCTATGCATGAAATCTTAACATTTCTTGATTTTGTATGACATGCTTGAGTAGCAAGAAAAGATGACTGAGAAAGTTTTAGTGCTTTGTGAGTTCTAATGCAACAGTTCACAGCAACTGAGAATTAAGCAGTTTTCCTTTACCCGATACTCAGCATCCTTTTAAGCTCCCTGTATCCCATGCACACACATGAGCAAATATTAATGAGAGTGAATTCAAGTATATTAGTCCCCTCCTATCTTCCTAAGCTATTAATCTATTGCTTATTTAATCTAACAGCACGATCCTTGATCTCCAAGTCTAGGTACTGTTTGGAAAGCCCCATAAGCAAGCACAAGAAAAGGATCAGTCTATGCAGGAATTTCAACTGCCTCTTACACCCTGGCAAGACTTCTACAACTGATTTGCAAAAATAGAGACATTTCCTAAAATGCTTTTCTGTAAGTAGAAAAGAATGTGAAAGAGTTAAAACCACTTCCTCACAAGTTTGCAGACAGTAGAAGGGGGCCCTCTGAAACAGCAGGCATAATCCCAACTCATCCTAGATGCTACAAACATTATATACGAATGTCATAATACAAAGAGCACTAATGCAGATGCAGTATGGAGAATTCTGCGGTTGACTGGAGTTTGGAGAAAAGTTATATGATGAATTTAGCATGTCAGAAGTATAGTTTTGCAGTTCTACCTTCATGCACCTCCACTGTTACTGGCACAAATTAGTAAGGACAGCACAACTGCACTACTTAGGTTTAGAAAAAAAAAAAAAAAGGACAGAAAAGAAGGAAGCTTTATATGCCAACTGCTTAAAAATAAGTAATTAAGAAGCATGTAGATATAGCAGCCATACAGAAATTCTGGGAAATCAGAATCCTAGAACTCCCAAGTAGGACTCTTAAAGAGTTCTTCCTAATTTGAAAAAGTGACAGTCAGTCCCTACAAGCTCCTTGTTAAAGGTGACTGACAGAAGAAAACAAGGATTTAACTAACATCCAGTAACCTTGGGGCGCTTGTCTCATAAACCTGCACAGCTGAGCAATATGGGCATTTGGCAAAGAACTGAAATTTACCTTCTTTAGAAAGTACAGATTTCAGCGCTTTCTCCATCTGACACCTATTGCCTACAACACAAGGGTGACACCTCACATCAGGGAATTCTTCAGAGACAACTTATTGTGGTCAGTTTAAATTCCCCCCAAATTTACCTACTGCGGCATTATTTAGAGAGTTCCTTATCCTCACTTGCAAATATTGCAAAAATACTGTTAAAAAGAAAGATGCAACAGCTATACAGAGAATGTTGCTTAACTGCATGAACAGAAAGTAAAGATTAAAATCCCGTAATTAAATTACATTCTAACATCCTGCTTAAATAACTGCATCAATGTACTTGAGAAAAGGAACAAAATTAAAACAGGCCTCCATATTACGTTACCGGGCTTTTCATTCTCAGTTTAGGTCTACATTTAATCAAAATCTGCAAAGTACTTGTTTCTAATTTACCTGACAGTCGTGTAAACATCTGTGTCCAATCAGCTAAATACCTATGAACTTATTGAAATGGACTAAGTGCCCTAAAATTCCTTAGGAAATACCTTTATTTGGTTGCATTTTGGTTTGGTTTTTTTTAACTTTAATTTATGTTTTATTTTTGTTTATTTTATTTTCTAATTTTGGACTCCTCTGAGGACTGCAAATTTATCTTCGCAGGCCTAAGGAGAAAAGAGCTCTGGCTAACAAGACAGACAAAATGACACAGCATGAGTTGCATCACTTTGCAGTCTTGTATGTCCTTCTTCTGACCTAGGTGCAATTACACTTCTAAGAAGAAAAAGTTCTATCTTCTTGGCTGAGATTAAAATAAGTTTGAGTTTTGAGGTTTGCTAGAGGTGGCACCTTAACTGGCCTTCTGGAAGCAGGGCAGAGTATTTCCACTGCTAAGCTTCTCAAACCCACACACGGTTATTTCTTTTATTTTTCCCCTTCATCTTTTGAGAGGCTACTAAGTCACAGTTTAACATTTATCTTGATGTAACTTTGTACAGAACCAGTGCCTCCCAGCTTTCAGAAGTGGTTTCTTCCCCTAAAATCTGCTTCGTGTTCCACTTCTACTTTGAGAGAAAACGGGAGCTGGTTTCAAGACCATACTGGGTATTCTCTCCTCTGCATTCCAACAGAAGATTTATCTTTGCTCCTTGTCCAAGGGCAGCCTGTTGGAAATAGCACACTGAGTTGTCCTTCCAAGATAACAGCTTGTGAATGCTGTTCATCTACTTTGCGGCAAGTAGGATAAACATGAGAGTCCATTAGATCAGTTTTGGTGGTTCCAATAGTCCTTGCAGAGATACTGAGACAGTCAGAAAAACTCTTGATGCTTGGCAAGTCATGAATGATTTGAAACTTCTGGAAGGAATGTCAGAATTTCTATTCTTTGCAATTGATGGTAAGATACTTAAATTTCCCAATATAAGACTGGGCATCTGGAAACAAGGCAGTAATGGATTATTTGTGACTATTTTAGACTTATGCAAGTCCAACTTCTTTCTGGAAAAAAAAGTATCTAATATTTATAACTGAGTTGCACAATTTCTTTTGGTTCACACAGCTTTAAGGGATATTTTCCACTGCCTACTTATGACTACAGCTCTTAAACATGAGATTTTTTTGGGGTAATGATAACAACCGCAATTGAACAGGATTAGGGCACTCTACACATACAAACTGCACAGCAGCAAGATGAAATGCTAGTTCAAATATTACGCCAGCATTAAGATGCCCTCTGTCCCAAACACCACTCTATCTGCTTGAAAGCTAGAGCTATTTTTACTTTTGCCCTATTTCAGGGTGGCTTTGGGTCTTACTGGCACAGAAGGCAAATTGAAATTCCAGTTGTAGCTCCCTAACAGTCTCCTGCTTACTTTTCGGTTGCTATGACTGCATCTCTTCCCCAGACAGCACTGTCAAACCCTTTGAAGGGGATAGCTCCTGAAAATTACCTCCCTGCAGAACAGACAGCAGTTTCTATCCACATCACCTCTTATTTGTATGCTTGCTTCTTTCTCCTCGCACTTTGAGGATTGAAAGAGAACAGAACATTTTTGGTTTCTTCCTTTTTTTTTTTTTTTAAACATTCTCCTTCCAGGGGCTCTAGGTCTTATTAGGATGTAGTATGGTGCTTCAACAAGTTTTTTGTTAAATTCAGAAGATTTTTCTTATTTCAAGTGCTATAAAGCACTCCATAATGTTTCATGCAACTAAAGAGAAAGAGAACAAAACCAGAAGCGTTCTAAACCAGACCTTTTACCTGGTACAAGATTACAGTTAATATATATTTTACGCCATTAAACATACTCCTTGGGGCAATATTTGCTTTTTAACTACATGGATTGCACCATTGCTTCATCTAACCAAACACCTTTCTCAGTGTGTCATATGGGAAGACTGGTTTTAATATGCAGCGAGGTGTGCCAAAGGAATAGATGAGGAGCTTTCAGAAAGGCCTTATGAGAAGTGACATGTAATGTTCAGACAAAAATGCTGTCTGACAGTCATTCACTGTCCATTTAAGGGCACCCCAGTGAGTCACTGAGCACTTGATAACTAAACAAAACGCTCAAGTATCTAACAAGGAGCATTAAATACAAAATCCTTTCTAAAAAAGACACCTTTGTAATTTATTCTTAGTATCTAAACATTATCTTGGTCAGACTTTGTTAAATTACCTTAGAAAGACTTCATGCTACAAGATTTTTTTCCCCTTTACCTGTTTTATGGCTGTCACAGTTATGACAAAGAATAATGGCAATCCACTGGTAATAGGACTGGTAGGGGTATCTATCATGAGCTAAAAAGAGAACAAAATAGAAAAATTAGCCCAAATTTTACTTTTACAATTGTACTTTCAAAAAAAAACAAAAAAAAGCAGGATGACAACTATTTTCCAAACTCCTCATTATAATTTGTGAGTACTTTTACTGTCCTTTCTACAGTATCTCTGGAGCAAAACTCAGCTCCTGACACTTAAATAACACATGTCAGTAATGATGCAAACAAAGGTTCCAGGGCACAGGACAGACTTAATCACATTTGTAATGCATGTGCCAATTTGAAGAGTCCTTAGTAAAAGCAAGATATGTTTTCATCCTACAAAGATGAATTCAAAGTATACTACAAAGAAAGGAGATCAACATTTTGTGAAGTTGTTTCAATACTCTATACAATCTACTGCTTAACAGCAATGTATAGTATAACATCATCCACTTCAGAAGTAAAAATGAAGTTAAAAATAGTAATTTCCAACAGTTCATATACTAGAGAACACCTTTTTAGATGGTTCCTTTCTGGTTCCCCCAAGTTAACATGCAGTTTTTACAATTTGTGCTATCATTGCTGGCATGCCAAAAGTGCAGTGTATACATTAAAATTCTGTATGTGGGGGGAGATGTTAGTGGTTCTCCTCTGCTGCAGTAAAAAAAAACCAACATAGTCAAGTGCTATAAAGAAAATATACACAAGAACTATTCAAAACCACAGACATTGATTTGATCCACTTTACCTGAGACTTATGGCATTGCTTTGGGACCATTAAAGAAGAAGGGGAAAAAAAAAATCATACATGAAGTTTACTCTGTTAAGAGCCAAGAATCTCAGAGAGAAAACAGATTATGCCACCTTACAACACAGGCATCACTTTTTTTTTTTCCCATTGAAACACAGATAATTGATAGAACATGACAAAAACCAGATATAGCCTACAATATTGTTTGTTCTTCAACGGTAGCATTGCAATTTCAGCTTGGCAGCATGTTGTCCAAGAAAACCCATGCCAAAAGCACCTGATTTTTGGCTGGATGGGGTTAACCATGACATTCCTGTCATCTACACTTTCTCCTTCTTTCTGGCTCACATGTGAAAACGAAGCAAGTTTTCTGCTGGTGGAATTGTCATGGCAGCTTGCTCCTTTTGCCTCTTTCACCAGAACACCACGTCCCTTTGCCTAGTACATAGCTTGACACGCACCCGTCACACAACTAGTATGGAGCCTCATGCGACCAAAATGCAGTCAGTCACCATGTTTCTGGCATGCACATGTGAGGGGAACAACGTGGACCGGATTGTGCCGCATGTTCAAATCACACAATAAGAACTTGCCCCAGCTCTGTCAACCCCAGGGGTATAAGGTGGTAATGACAGACACTGCATCTTGGTCACATGAGATTCTTTACAACAGAGCAGATACCATAGCGATCAACTTTTAAAGGCATCTTTGCCTTACAAAAAAATATTGGATATCAATGAACTTCCAAATGGAATTTGAATAAAAACAGAATTCCATTCTAACAAATGAACAAAAACGACTGCAGGTTTTCTCCTGTTCACTTTCCAAGAATACAGATGTATAGACATTTCTCATACTAATCAGGGCATTCATTTGAGTCATGAAGTGAGAGAAGAACAGGATTGCACCCTGAATAGAAGTTCTGCCTTTAGATTTGTGTTTGTTCATGGACATCACATTTAGATATTACGGAAACCTAACAGTTTGAAAAGGAACGTGACTCAAAATTGAACTAAAGAGGTACATCTGCACTAAAAGGAAACAAAAGCTTTAAAAATGCAACACTGTCTGTGGTTCCTGTAAGTAAAAATTTATGTTCCATCTCCAGCATGCCCCTGTCTTCCTCATGCTACAATATGTTAAAAAGCAAGAAGTATCATAACAGGAATGACAAAGTCAATATTCCTAACTAGGAAGATTAGATGGTCAATGCATTCTGTTAGGCCAAGTTAGAACTACATGACTTAACTCCCAAGACAGGAATTTTCAGCCTATTAGAAAGCTGATTCTTTTTAAGTGTGAAAGAACAAGAACAAGGGACACAGGAGGCAATGGATTAAAAATTGCAGAACTGGCCTGCTACTGACATCTTGTACAATCACAGACAAACCTTATGAGCTCTTTATTATTCCTATTTTTGTCACGAAGTACCATCTTTTTCAGAAGCATATCGTAAATGTTGGTTAATCACTGTGGAGGGCTGTACATGTTCAAAGCATTCTATTTTATAATAAAAGAAAAGTTTGTGTACCCCAAAATCTTGCCTCTGTCTCAGATATCAATTAGTCTTTCAAAAGTTATTCTCTCTCTTTAGAACTTTTCACTCACTTATCCTTCATCTACTAAGTCTGCAATAGCTCAACAGAATTTGAGCATAATTACAGAGCTGGAGATGCAAAGATCACAGAAAATTTACAGACTTTCATGCTTTCAATATACTTGTGGATGTTCTTAATTAGAAGAAATACACTCTGCTACAAAAGCCACAGTAATATTTCTGACTTGCACTGTACCAACTGTGATGTGTTCAAAACTGACAAACTGCCAATCCTAGCTGTAAATTGTTGTGTGTCCATTTTATCTGAACAAATTGAATACGAGGATCTCAGAACTGTGCAACAATAGCATGCTGCTTTACAAAACCAAGATTTCACCTACAATGAGAACACACAATAATCTATGCTTGGTTCAAGAGCAAGCATACTGTCCAACTTGACACAAGTCAACTTGAATGTCTGCATTCTGCACGCTAATGTCCAAGAAGGACTTGAAAACACACAGCGTAAACTCCTGGTTTATTCGAACACCACCAATGACCACAAAAATCAAAAAGCGTATTTGGAATTTTATTACTAACTTCACAGATTTGAAATTGTCATTTTAGGCAGACAATTGTGTCCCCATACTGGCAGTACAATGGGACTCTGAAGCTGCGCACTTAAATACACTAGCATTCATGAAGATGAAACCTAAGGACAGTACTTAAATTTGGATATAATTCTTTTTAAAGTTATGTTATTTTCCCAGAGAAGTTGGAAACGTGTTGTTTTCGTAGACAGAATATGTAAGTAGAGAAGATAAATTCATAGAACAGGAAATCAGTGGCAGAATTTACAGCATAAATCGCAATTTCCTGAGTATTATTCAACTTACCTGAACCAAAAATATAATCAGAAAATAAAAGTTGGCTACTCTTCTGAACTGCTCAAATAAGTTTTTTGGAACAAAATTCCACACTGTATACTGAAGGGAAAAAAGGGAGAGAAAGAAGAACAGTTACAACATACTGAACAATTTTTCAGTGAAAATTCAGTTCCACTCCCATTAACCTAAATCTTTTAATTTTCCATCCACCCTTCTCCAAACCTTATTCTAGTCTTGCCTTACTCCCACACAGAAAGCTGTATCCAATTTTTTTTTTTTTTTTTTTTTTTAAGTACAGCTAGCAGGGAAGCACAGGTAGCAACCGCATTGCCTTTACAGTCAAGGTTTTAAATGTCCTCCTACCAACTGGGATAGGAGCAGCTGGAGACATTTGGCTGCTTGCATCCTATGTAGCAGAGAAGAAATTAATTCTTGCAGCTGTAACTTTCTCTCCTGTACTACACCGACAAGACACATCCTCACCATCAGTTCTATTGATTCCAATCCAAGGTCACACTAGGAGGGATTCTGCAATTGCAGTCCACTGCTGATTTATTTTATGCAGAGTACTAGCTTATAATTTGGCTATTTTATAAATCCTCACAATCAGCTTCATTGTTCATTTTAAGTGGTTCTCTGCATTGCATCTAGATATAGGCAATACCAGTTTAAAACCTACTTTTGTTCAGAAATTCTGACCAACATGCTTAATTGTTCTGTACTCAGTCAGGTTCTAAGGAAAGAGGGATAAGTACAGAAGAAAACTACATAGGAAGTAATGTAGCTTTTTCCTCAAAAAAGTTCAGAGCTTATCTCTTTTTGAATGTTGTATACGCACCATCAGACATAATACACACATGCATATTTGGTACTCGACTTTGTAAGTAACATATCACATGGTTTTAAATTGATTCCTTACCTTGGATGATATGATTCTGTTGTCTGCAAACTTCTGAGGAATATAATGGCCATGCTGGGGAAAACGATTTGCTATATAAATAGTTCTTGTATCGCTTTGATGCGGCGGGTCAAAACCCTAAAACACAAAATAAAAAAGATGATCACGAAAGACTATTTTATTAACTGTAGTTTTGTAAAATTGTCATTTCTGTGCTGAAAAATGATATCTAGATATCAAACGGAAGTTTTAGAATCATGGGTTTTGAATGGGAAACAAAATTAACCTGTAAATAAAAGTTTGCAGTGTCCAGAGAATTTTCAAAAACTGAGGAGAAAAAAAAAATCCAGCTCAATTTTGAGGCTGTGTACTCCTTCTGAAAAATTAAATTAAAAAAATCCTTAAAAAGGACAGAGAATACTTGCTACCATGCAAACCTGAAGCCCTGTTAAACTTTAAAAAAGAATAGAATGGAGATGAACACATATATAAACTACAAAACCAGCCACGTTCGTGATAACCCTAATAAAACAGATTATGAGAAAAGTAGAAGTTCAATTATCACTGCATAGTAGTATGGTTTGTTTGTTTTGATTTTGAAAAGATTCTCACCAGCTTAAAAACAAAACCATACACATCTGACTAGACAACAGTATTTTTCCAAACATGTTCTAATTCCAAGAATAAACGTTTTGTCAAATTCAACTCTAAATTCCTGCCATTACCACCAATTCATACATGACTGGTAGCAACACTGAAAGAAAACTCATCACAAAAAAAAAAAAAAAAAACAATCTAAAAAAGCAAAGAGCAAACAAATTAGGGTCATTTAGCCTAGAGGAGAGGAAACCTGGGATATACTAGCACATCTTCCGATACATAAGACTGTTCCACCGAGAAAAAGGGTAATCTGAAGGACAAAGAACAAAAAAAAGTAGACTTAAGTTGCAGCCAGGAAAACTTAGTGTGGATATCGGAAAACAAACAAAAATTCTTTTCTTATGGAAAGGAACAATTAAAAACCAAAATAAGTCATGTGGGAAAGTTGCAATGTCTCTGTAACACAAGGGCTTATATGTAGGTCATTCAAGTCTATCTTTAATTAAGCCTTTCCTGGGGCTACGTGACTCACCAGAACCCTTCCTAGGTCCAACATTCTGACCTGAAGAAGCAGGTGACGGCAAAAGACAAGCAAGAAAGACAGTAAAACAGTAATAATTCCAGTAACAGGCCAAGAAAATTACTAAAATAAGAAAGAAAAACCTTTAAGACATGAAACAAACTAGTGAAACTAAATTTGGAACTGTTAAGTATACACGAAGCCTCCTTATTCTATGACACCAAGTGAAAGGACAACTGATGAAACAGGTAGAAAGGGCATTACCAATTCCACTACTAGAGGTGAGGAAACGACCTTTGCAGTTGTATTCCTCCACTTGTGAAACCAGGCTCAGACCTTGATTCATGTCCAATAAAACCTGACACTTCACAGAACTCCAACGGAAGATACTTCTGTGCCAGTTAACTACAGAGGATGATGAACAGCGAGCACAACGAGCTACATAAAAAATGGGCTGGTATGACAAGCCAAGAATTTTCTTTGATCGACAAAAGTTCTCTAACACAGGGCATTAGTTACGTTCACATTCAGGATGGTGTCATTTAAAGTAAAGGAATAATTAAAAAATCCCCTCAAACATACAAATTTTTGTATTTGGCATCATTACTACAGAAACATTCTGCTTCAGGGAAAAAAAAAAAAAGTCCAGAAGAAAGGAGGGAGAAAGCAAGGAAGGGGGATTTTTCAAAGAGATTTGAAGGAGAATAAACTTTAGATGACAAGCAGTGGAAGGCTGCTCTAGTCACATGCTCCAGTGTGAAAACTTGTTTAAAGATAAGAGTGGAGCAGGGGGACAAAAAGTAGATAGGGGAAAGGACTAGAAAAAATACATAGAATGCCAAAAGCAAAAAAAGAAAGGAACTGTTCAAAACTTTAGGAAAAGAAATGCAAGCATGGAAGTAAGATGAAAAAAAAAAGGTACCTGTTGAATGCTGACACAGAATTTAAAAAGAGAACAATGTTTGTAGCAGAAGCATTTTGGATATCTGACATTAGTGACACATAATTTCTAAATCAATCCACAAGATGCCACAATAGAAGTGTTTTGCAAGAAAGAAAAAATGTGCTTAATTAGTAAGACTAGGTACACATCTTTCTTCTACCTTGGAAAATGCCTGGCACTCACAAAATGCCAGACATCCTCACTTTGGAAAGTCATATTCTACAGCCTGAAAAAATTCCACTCTAAATCAAGCAGATGTAAAGCAGGAAAAAAGCACAAAAAGCAAAGAAAGCGACCGGCAGTCTTCTGATGGTGATAAACGCTGATCACCATGCTGCTTGCTGAAAGTTATTAAAAGATACATGAAAAACTTCAGAGTGACTAGGGTATCACTGAATTTTTTCCGAAGTATTTATATGCCCCTTTTAGGCCACTATCTGAGCACCTGAAAGGAACTGCATTTTTATTATGAAGAGTAAAGACCTCAAAACAAGTCAAGCCCAACTGCATGGGTAACTCTATCAGAGGAGAACAGCTCCGCTGAGGTAGACTCAACTGATCAAAAGCAACGAATGTATTTTCCAAATCAGAATCTCAGGCCATGCAAGTTTACAGCTGCAGTTGTGCAGCTACAACAGTTTGAAACTGCAGTCTAATCTAGTTGCACATTTAACTCTGTTTTGTTTAAATTTATCATAGAGAAAGTGCAGAAGCTGTGCAACGATCAGATCTATGGAGATGGAAACGCACAAGCAAGGCAGGTTGGGGACAAGAACCTCTTCAGTAGTCAGAGCTATGGCTGGAAAACGACACATCCGTGACAGCCTTAGTGACCTGACTGTAGTCATAGCAGGAAATAAGTGTCAGCACTGGGAACAGAAAGCAGATTTCCTAAGTTTCATGTCTAAAACTATGAAACATCATTTGAAATTACTCAGCAATCCCATCATCATGTAATTAGATGATGAGACCACAAACAAACAGATATTCCAGAGAAATTTTAATTACACATCTCTTCAAGGAAAATTCTGCACAGTGTTCAAGAACTGAAATGCCTTAAACTTTTCTGTAACTATGTGGCTGGTCACAGATCCTCTTCCTGATACAAAACTGAGCTGTAGTCCAAATTTCTGCCCACAAAGGGATTCTGCATTGTATCTATATGCAAGCCAGCAAAGAGGTGCCAAAAGCACATTGTTTCCTAATTTCACTTATTGGACAGTTCTTTCTAATGTCATCATCAAACTCAGCTGCAAAACTAGGGTAACATGCCCTTGTCAAAGGATTTCGGCGGTCAAATTTCATAAGCGGAGAACCCCTAAATTAAATTTTGAGTCTTGCAAAAAGATTCAGTTGTCAACAGTACCTTTCAATAAAAGCTAGTTTTCCTGCAGTTATATAGATAAATGACTTCCACCTAAGTGCACAGATCATTGACTTCACAAAGAATAAAGCAGAGTTTATTACAAAACCTGATATTTAAGGCTTCTTAGTCAGGTGTATTACATGAATTAACTGTAAATAAAATATATTGGTTGAAGTTCAGCCATTCAGCTGATGTTATTAACACAAACCAGGCATTATCTAGCCTACAATACAGCTCTCACATTTAATCTTTGATACCTGCCTCACCAATAGAAATCTTGCACCCAGATAAACTTGACATGGTTTGTGTTTGAAAATAGTCTAATTGAATGCCATTTACACACAACACACAGATGTTTGAGTCAAGCTGATTTATAAAACACAAACCAACATAACTTTCTGGGAGAAGTAAAACAAAGAAAGCAAGTAAGCAAGCAAGAAAGCAAGAAACAAGTGATTCCTAGTCTTCCTTTTTCGTGAGTCTGTAACAACTCTAAGTAATGTCAAAATCATTTTTACTAAGCCTCTTCAGCAGTGATTTTTTTAGTGTTCTGAAGCCAAAGACGTCCTCTGTGCAATAATTAGGCTTCTTTAAAACAGCATAGAAAACATATCCTGAGGAACTGAGGAGAAATTTCTGTCTTGTGATTTTATGCTGTTTCTTTCATGAAAGATATGGGCTTCAACGCCCACCTCTCCTCCAAGTAATCCCTTCCTAAATTTTGTCCCCATCTCCACCATTGTGCTAGAAGAACTGCCCATGCAGCCATTCCGCAAAGTGGACTGGAAAACTGATCCAACCAAAACTCCAACATTTTCTCAGTTGTTCTTTTTTTTTTTTTAATATATCATTCCCTAAAACAATTGTGTGGTCACTCCAACAGCTTGTTGGTATAAAAAAAAAGGGTACAGTGTGGAAGAGGAGTTTTATATTGCTGCTGAGGAAGCATCGTTAGCATGAACAACAAATTAGGCAACTGGAGAACCAGGCAGAGTAAGCAAACGAGAAGAAGCACTACGAAAAAGAACTGTGCAAAGGAGGATACTGCCCTCCCAATACATGCAAGCCTAAACAAAGTAAAAAAAAAAAACCAAACACAAAACCACCAAACAAAACCACAAAACCACAAGCTTTCTGAGTCAACTTGTTGATATAATTATTATATTATTATAAGCCCTATCTACTGTAGACTCTTATTTCTTCAATACCACTATCAATTTATGGCAGCACACACGTACGCCCTCCCCACACGCTCTACAGCACTGTTAGTAAGCGAGACAGCAGAAATCCACAGATCTTTCAGCTGGGATTAGCCACACGAGACCAGCACCCAAATAATCAATTGCTGCTTCAAGCTTTGCCATACGTGCACTGATAATTGCAAATCACCTGACATGCAATTTCTGCTTATGATTTGCATAAAGCCAGTATACTTTAACATGACCTCTGAGTGTTTCTTATTAATCATCCACAGCTTTTACAGGAAAAAAAGCAAAATTACGCTTGCTAAAAGAACTTCTGCTATGTGACCAGTTTTCAGTGAAAGGGGCTTGAAAGAAGGAAGTCTCAATTAGAGCCTCTTCCTCCTTTCAGAAACCACACTGAACACTGCTAAGCAAAGTAGTAGTTCCCCCAAAAGCCCTTCAGACACCATATACTAGTTAATAAACTAATAAACAGAAGAAACTTGTGTCTCAGGAAGC